TGTTATAAATCCATTGAATTGTGTGGATTGTCCATTTGCTTTCTTCATGAACTTATCCTATCATGTATCTACATTTCCAAGGTGACATGAACCTTTATAGATAACTATGTACTTATTAATTGAGCATTTATCATGGTGGCCTTTGGGTGATATTTCTACTCTATAAATAGAGATATCATTCACCTTTTGTAAAACACATTTGAATAAGAAGAAAGTCTTATCTTCCATCTTACTTCTCTTGTCTTCATCTCTTTATATTTATATTGTCATGAGCTTGATTTTATAACAGAAAATATGTTTTATTTGAGCTAAGCCTCCTTTGGAAACTCGCTCATGAGTTATTTAAATTATAGTATTGTTTATGTTAAAATGTTAAATTCACGAAATATTTTGCAAGGAATTTAATTTCTATATTCAGAAAATTTACACTTTATGTTTTATCATTTCCTGCTACAGTTCATCTAATTAAGTTAGAAAATTACTGACTCTCTCAGCTTCTTATAAATGTATGGCTGAGTTTATCCAATAGTTTGAATTTTCTTTACATCATTTCATCTTTCTGAGTAAAAATTTGAGTATGCACCAACTTATATGCCATACCGATCTAGCAAAATTAATAAAGTAAAGTTCATCTTCTTCATATAATTAGAAAAAGTTGTTTCCTCGATTTTGGATGAATTCCCAGCAAAAAATAGAATGACTTCATCAAACAAGAATGTATCATAGTCGGTCCAAAACGAGATAACAAAAAAAAATGAATTAATACAATATAAATTTGTCAACAAACAAATAATTAATATCAAATTATTATATCAAATAATATTAATAATAATAGTACGTAAACTAATATATTCGTGTATGATTTTACCATTTTGTTGTATTGCTAGCATATAACATCTTCTTACATGAACTTGATAAAAAAGATAGAGTGATGATAAAGCGAGACGAAATATTTTTCCACAAACTTGACATGCAATTAAATTCATATGAGTCACCCTTATGTTTTTCTTAACCAAACTGAATCATATATTAATTGAAGTGGGAAGCTCCTATCTTCAAAGTTGGATTACCACTTTTCCCTTCCAAACAATCAAAGTTTAATTAAATATCATATTAAGTTTTGATTTAGTGAAGGGAGAATATGGTAATTCAACTTTAAAGATATGAGTTTTCCACTTTAAATAATATATGATTCAACTTAGTTTATTGAAAGAAACATAATGGTGACTTATAATAATTTAATTGTATATCGAGTGTGTGGCAAAACATATCCGCATATTGTGCCGCTATTCTATCATTTTGATCAAATTCATGGAAAAAAATGTTATATGCTAGCAATACAAGGAAATGGTAAATTACACATAAACGTATTTGTTTATATATTATTTCTTTTTGACACAATAATTTGATATTCATTATTTATTTACCAACCAATTTATATTTATTTAAAGTCCTTTTTTTTTCTTAACTCTTTAGAACTGACTATGATTTAGCTTGTTCGATCAGAAAATCATCATCTTGATAAGAGGAAGAAGAACTTTGAATTTTTAATTTGTTTGAAAACATCCTTCCAAGATAAAACACTCCTATCTAGGGTGCTTCTCGCTTCTATATTTGGGTGACAATTCATTCTAAATCGATGTAAGCTTTTGGAAACTACATCTTCCTCGTATAAAAAAAAAGTATAAGTACCCCCTCCCCTCCTCCCCAAATCTATGCCCGAAATCCCAAAGACACACGTATACTATATTAAGGTCTTATTACCCATATGAACTTATTTTATATAGAATTTTCTATTCCTTTTCGGCCAACGTGGCACTAGCTTGAATAAAATTTCAACATCAAAGATAGTGTCACGTCAGGCGAAAAGGGGTAGAAAATTATATATAAAATAAGTTCGGGGGAAGGGGTAATAGGACCTTAGTATGGTATAAGTGTGTCTCTGAAATTTTGGGTATAGGTTGGAGGGTGCTTGTGCATTTTCCCTAAAAAAGTAATTTTCCTCGAATAAAAATGAATTACCATAAAAATTAGAATCAAGAAACACCCTAGACAAGTGTGTTTTCTCTTGTAAGGAAGTTTTCAAACAAATGAAAACTTCAAAGTTCCTCTCCCTCCTTTCAAAATTTAATTTTTTTTTAATCGAACAAGAATGAATCACAGTTGATCCTTAAAAGAGGTATAGAAAAATCGACTTGGCCTAAATATAAATTGGCTAACAAATAATTAATGAATATCAAACTATACTATCAAATAATAATAATATATAAACTAATATATTCATGTAACTTTTTACCATTTCGTTTGTATTGCTAGCATATAATGTTCTCTTCCATTAACTTGATCAAAATGATAAAGCAATGGCACAACATGAGAAAATCTTTCGTCACACACTCGACATGCAATTAATTTAGTATATATCACAGTTATGTTTCTTTTAATTAAGTTGAATCATATATTATATAAAGTGGGTAACTCCTATCTTTATAATTGGATTAACATTTCGTCACTTCACTAAATCAAAATTTCATTAAATATCAAACTAATGAGTAATATTTTATGTTTTTGATTTAGTGGAAGGAAAATGACAATCCAAATTTGAAGATAGGAGCTTCTCACTTTAAATAATATATGATTCAGCTTAGGTAAGAGAAATATAACGGTGGCTTATACTATTTTAATTGCATGTCGAGTGTGTGGCAATATATTTCCTCATGTTGTGGTACTACTCTATAATTTTGATCAAGTTCATGGAAGAAAAAGTGATATACCACCAATACAACGAAATGGTAAAATCACACATGAACATATTAAATTATATGTTATTACTATTTGATATAATGAGTTGACATTCATTATTTGTTTGTAAACTAATTTATTTTTGTTATATACCACCAATACAACGAAATGGTAAGTCAATTTTTTTCTTACGTCTTTTAGAACCGGCTATAATCCATTCTAGTTCAATCAAAAAAACACCCCTTGATCGGAGGGAAAGGAACTTTGAGTTTTTTAGTTTATCTGAAAAACTACCTTACAAGAGAAAACGTTCCTATCTAGGGTGTTTCTCGCTTCTATTTTTGGGTGACAATTCATTCTAAATCGAGGTAAATTACATTTTCTATATGAGGAAATGTATTTATAAGCTTTTGGAAACTACACCTTCCTCGTATTAAAAGAAAAGGTAATTTGCTTCAATTTAGAATGAGTTGACACAAAAACTTAGCAGCAAGAAACACCCTAGATAAGAGTATCTTCTCTTGTAAGGAAGTTTTCAAACAAATGAAAAATTCAAAGTTTTCAAACAAATGAAAAATTCAAAGTTCCTCTCCCTCCTTGCAAGATGTAATTTTTTAATCGAACAAGTATGAATCGTAGTTGATCCTTAAAAGATCCATTCTCATTCAATCAAGAATGTATCATAGTTTATACTATTGTTCCATCTTCTGATGTATCAATGGATTCTATGTATATTAATAAGATACTAGGTAAACACTAAATATTGATACCGGATACAAAGGCGATAAACAGAAAAGACTAGTCTCTGCCTCTCCCACATAAATGTACAACAATACTAAGCTACCTACAATTCCACTATCCTAATCCCAAATTATGCACTACTATAATCATCTACTCGAGTAATTGTCTACAAAAAGAATACTTACCCCATCTCCTTAGCTTCCTCAGTTACATAACTTCCATCTTTTCTCCTATGAGTCCTAGTCCACATTCTGCAATCAACAGCTTTTCACTTTGCCATTTGAGAATATACCTATCAAAGCACATCATTTGTAAACTGGTTTTGCTTCGACATCTATGCACACATATCAAATAGGTTGTAAATTTAAACATATATAGCCAATTACTTATTAGTTAAACGTATAGTGGATGCGTTCACCATCTCCTCGTGTTTCTCCCACTTCCTCACAATCAAGCCTACTTTTGACATGTTTGTTACCAAGAAAATAGTCATTAATTGATCAGAGTGTGTAAGCCAAGCAGCTATAGGCACTCCCATAATAATACTCTTAATGAGAGAATTCCGACTACAATGACTCATTATTCATGAACTCATCCACAAATATTCAGAAACTAAAACATAAATGAACCAAGGAACACTGATATATGAAATAGATTAAATCACTACAAAATTATGAGGATACCTTTGTTGATACTCGACCATATTTTCTATGTCGGCAAATCAGTTCCCAAAAGTGTAAAATTATATGAGCAAGTTTATAACAACTTAAAAACTACAATGAGTCCAAACTAAAAAATATACATAAATCTTAACTATAGACCAAAAACAATGTAAGATCAAATAGAATAATGTTAATTGATTTGCCATAAATACTCACTCAACGAATGGCATGACTTGTGGACAAGTGAGCACCACATATTGATGTGCTTGATGTTTCAAGTATTAACACAGACTCCGGGCTACATCTTCTAGTGATGTATATTCAGGTTTTAAGCTTTCAGATCACGTTTAAATCGGTTCTCGATCTTCAGTTCAACAGTTACAGTGGTGAGTCCTCATCCTTAGAAGACACGTGACATGATTATTTCCCTTCGCTTTTAATTTTTAGTTTCAGTCCAGCTGGGGCATGTCCTAGCATTTCTAGTCAGTTAGGCTTATTTCAGACATAACTAGATTTAGCTTTATTTCATTTGAGCTTCACTTTTAAGTTGTGTTAAAACTCTTAGTTTTGTTATATATTCAACTTTAGAATGGGTATTCCTAATCAATTTCATTTTTCATAAAGCTTACGCTCAGCATTATTTCATTTCAGTTATCATAGTATGCTGATGTATGCCAACAAAGTTAGCTTGGGGTCATTTGTGATCTTTGGTCGGGTACGCATTTTAGGGGTAGCTCAACATCATAACTATGCTACCAGCGAACAACTCCAACATAACTTTTTATTTCACTTTGGTTAGATCGTTACCCCTGTTAAGGAAGTTTTACTTAAACTAATGATTCAAAGTTCATCTTCCTCATATAAAAAAAAGTTGATTTGCCTTAATTTAGAATGTATTGCCATCCAATATTAGAAGGGAGAAACACACTGTATAGGAGCGCGTTCCCTTGAAAGAGTTTTTAAACAAACTATAAATTTAAAGGTCCTCTTATTAATATGGTGATTTTCTGATTGAACTAAAATGAATTATAGAAGGTCCTAAAGGGGTACCAAAATAAAGTTGACTTAACGCAAATTTAAATTTTTCGGCGAATAAATAATGAATATTAAATAATAATACTATATAAAATAACATATTCATTCATGATTTTAAAACATTTCGTTGTATTGTTAACATATATTATTGTCTTCCGTAAACTTGATCAAAATGATAAAGTATTGTGTTGTACTACATAAAGAGATATTTTGCCACACACTTGACATGCAATTAAATTAGTGTTAATATATATTATTTTTTCTCTTAAGTAAGCTGAATCATATATTAATTTAGTTTAGTTAAGAGAAACATAACGATGATTTTACTAATTTAATTGCATCGAAAGTGTAACAAATTATTTCCTCATGTTGACACTACTCTATCATTTTGATGAAGTTCACGGAAGAGAAGGTTATGTGCTAGCAATACAAGGGAATGGTAAAATTACACATGAACATATTAGTTTTTATAAAATTACTATTTAATATTCATTATTTATTTTCCAACCAATTCAATTATATTTTGTTAAGTCGGGTTCTTTTTGTTACCTCCTTTAGGACCAAACCATGATTCATTCTTGTTCGTTCAAAAAATCACGATCTTTATAGGAGAAAGGGGAACTTTAAATTTTTTGTTTGTTTGAAAACTTCCTTACGAGAGAAAGCGCTCCTATCTAGGGTGTTTCTCCTATATAATTCAATCTTTTGATAATTAAAATACTATTATTTAATTAAATTCTTAATTTAGTAGAGGGACAAGATGGTAATTTAATTTTTAAGATTAGAGCTTTCCACCTGAACACTTATTCATATAAAACTATCAACACGAGAAGGAGCTTTTCCATCTTTTCCCTCGTGAAAATGTAATAATCATCAACAACATACCTAGTGAAATCCACTTAATTAGAATATGAAGAATGTGGAGAGTATGCAAATATTACCACTATCTAATGTTGATAAAGAGGTTGTTTATGAAAGACCTTCGGCTCAAGGACATCAATCCAACTAAAACATTGTGGGGATGGAAGATGAAATTGAAAGTCAAGCTATGGTGTCCAAGAAGAACTATACGCAAGTGTTAGCCTTTGAGATATACAGGAATAACTTATTTCTTATTCAGCTACCCAACGATGATTCCAATATAAATACATTTCGGAAACAAAAAAAATTGAAAAATAAGTTACCTTGTCGAAATGACTGGGATCAGATTTTTGCTTGAGGCTGTTCATTCCCTCGATGACAATGTTGATCTCAGTCATTTCGACAAGGTAACTTATTTTTCGAATTTTTTTTGTTTCCGAAATGTATTTATATTGGAATCATCGTTGGGTAGCTGAATAAGAAATAAGTTGTTCATGTATTTGATGATAGATAAAAGCATCATATTTGGTTCCAAAAGGCGGGTTGGTTCATTCAATCCCACAAAAATCTCTCAAACTTTTGGGCTGATTTCTATCCATATCGCGTTTAGAGGAATCAAAACCTCATAACCGAATCAGTTTCGATAACTCTTTACTTTATAGAGAAGCACTTAGATATGAGTACTAAATCCTCTCTGCTATGTTTCATTCCAATACTAAATACAACAAATAACAAAATGAAATCATACATACAACAAATATATTCCAAGAATTACCATTTGGGGTTTGCGATGCTTACTTGGTGAAGCCATGGAGACTATCTGTTTCTCCCTCGCTCGTCTTTCTCGTCTACGAACAACGGAAGACTCCTACACAAGTTATGGAGAGATTAGTTATAACCATATATAAAAGCATTATTTTCTTCAATTGTTGCATTAATTAGAGGACATTTGTCTTGTCTGTCAAATGCTGGTAAGACCCTGAAATAACCTAACAAGTACTGAGGCAGGCTGTCAAATTGCATTTAGGTTTAGTATGAAAATGTATCATTTACAAGTTAAGGAAAACTATCCATGTCTGCTTTGTTCATTTTTTTCTTAGGTTGATTATTTGTCTTCTTTTGCTTAATTGTAGATTAACAGATTCTTACTTGTTAATTTTTTTTGGAAAAATCCTTATTATTTTGGTAAATATCTCTACTGATTTTGTTCTCTTTATTTGAAAAGAGATCACCACAAGAACAAACAAGCAACAATGGAGAAATCAAAGCCTAGACTAGTTTTCTAAGAATCAACAAGACGGAGCTACCCAAATAACTCACAATATCTTAAAATCCAGAAATGTACATAAAAAATAAGTTGAAATTAATAAAAGAAACTTACCTGGACGGATCTGTTAAAGATCTGTTTCAAAACCTCAAAATGCTCGCAGGAGTATGTTGTCCGTCCTCGTCGGAAAAGAGGATAATCGTCGAATTGGTGCTAGTCCGAGCTGGCTTTCGCAGATGCTCACCTGAGATCGAGATGAGGCAGCGTCTGGTTGTTGTTGCTGGCGTTGGCTTGCTGCTGCCGGTCGCTGTTCTTCGCCGGAGCCTGATTCCTGGTGGCACTGAAAAGAGAGAGAAAAAAGAACAAGGAGAAGAGGAGGGAGGAGAGATCTGAGAGAAAGGAGAAAAGGGGGAAGGGTCAGCGCCGCCTGGAGCATCTCGCTGGAATTTCGCTGCCCTCTCTCACTGGTCGCCGCTGATCGGAGCTGCGTGGCAGCTCGCTGGAGAGGAGAAGAGGAAGAGATGTGTGAAGGGGAAGGCAGGGAGGAGGAGAGAATAAGAAGGTGAGGGTTTAGGTTTAGATTTTTTGATAGTTTATAAATAGGGAAAAGAAGAATTTAATCTCAACCATTGATTTCATAAGAGATAAGGGCTAGGATTTGAATAAATTGGAGTGAGTAGAATTAAAATAAATTGGAATAAAAGGCTAATTTTTAAATAATTTTGAGAAAAAATTAGGAATTGTTATTCAATTAAAATACTACATATACTAAAATATCATATATTTATATTAAAGAGAACCTTATGACCGTCTATGTGGCGACACCACAAGCAAGGATTCTCTTTAATTTATTTTATTTCCAAAACTAGTCTTCCTCTTTCATGAAAAATTGTGACTTTTATGATATGTTCTAAATTTATGACATGTTGTAACTTTTTTCATGAAAAGTTGCGAAGTTTATGAAAAGTTCCAACTTTTATGAAGAGTTAGTGAGCTTTCCAAATTTGGATTAGGAAAGTTATGTCATGAAAGTAAGATGCATCATCATACTTATCGAATTGCACACAACACATAACATCTAGCACATAACACATATCATATTGCATATAATACATAACATTTTGCACATAGCACATAACATATTGCATATAACACATACCATTTTTCATATTATTCGTTCATATGTCATGAGACCTTGGAATCATGGACTTGACATCAACACTTTTCAAAATGAAGGCTCAAGATATGAGACCTTTACTAGGGAGCCTTTTTTAGCAAACATAGAGTCTGCTTCATTCATTCATATATACTTCATTTCATCTCATTCATAGGCTAGTGTAAACACCAGCTGTACCTAGGATGTAGTTTAAGACTTTCATCGGGTTCATTGTGCAATGATCACGAATGACCTAGTGTCATTAACTCTATCTCACCTCTTTATTATCCTATACTAACACCTTTGGTATCATTCATTTCATTATGTGCATCATTTAAGGCTAACGTCATTCATTCATAGGGAACTTTAACTTTAACCGACATAGATCATGTGAGCATCGTAAAATCCAGTGAAAAAGAGGTGGAATCACCATCCGAAGTGACCCAAAACATGCTAGCGTACATGGGAATTGAACCCCGCCAGATCCCTATATTGAAAGTATAGGTTTGAAGACTAGAAGATATAAGAAAACTCATACCCGGCATGCCGGACAGTCTCATCTCATGAGAGTTACGTGAACCTCCGCCCTTCCCAAAATAAGGCATCACCGCTCATAGCTAATCTATCGGTGCTCAGTATAAAATTTCATTACATTCAACTCATACGTCATGGAAGCTGGCTTCTAGTATGAGGACATCATAACTCAATAGATGATTTCTCATCTCATCATTACTATTAAGTGTGTTAATCTCAATAATTTCATTAGAGTGTTCATAGAGACTGGTCTCTTTATTAACTTTACACTCTCATAGGTGAGTATGTTTTGGTAATATTTACTTAGGCTCATTTGAGATTGTTATCATCTTTTACATTATCCTCATATCATGTTGTCACCACATTCATTAACATTAGCACATTTACTCTTCATAATTACTCGCCCCTTTTTACGTGAATGCTCATTTCATCATATGTCAATGGACTTGGACATTTGTGTGTTTCAGACCCTTACTTAACCCTTCTAGGGTTTCATTATTTCAATACATACATCTTAGGTTCACTTATTTTTAAACATATGGTAGACTTATGGGTATGTACATACAAGTCATGAGGCTTCTTTCATAGTTTGTTAAGTGATACATATCTTCCTACGATTATGTAGCACAAGACTTATGCATCTTGTATGTATACCAAGATCTGGATTTCGATCTAAGTAGGTGGCATTATTCTTGAACATTTAATTCATGTATGACTTATGTATCAATAAGGGAACCAAAGTTCGAATCCCTTGCACAACACTTACATTTTTCATTGATTTTATTTTTAATCCACATGACATTGGGACCCTAAATCGAGCCCAACATCAACATTTCCTCTTTCTTTATATCCTTGGAATCTCCTCCTACTTGGCCGAGGGGTTGTGGGATCGAATCCCATAGCCCCTTCAATTTTTTTTCATTTAATTCTCTTTGTAAAATTTGCATAGACCATGAGGTTGTGGGGTCCTCTCTTTATTTTTATTTTATTTCGCAGCTATTTCCTAGAGTTCGTGGGTTCAAGTCCCACATCTCACAATTCTTTTTATCTACATTTTTCTTTTAACTCCCTTCACTACCTTGAGGTCGTGGGTTCGATTCCCACGCCTCACATTTCTTTTCTTTTATTTTTTCCTTACTTCCACTCGCTGACTGAAGGTTGTGGGTTCGATTCCCTCGCCTCCCATTTTATTTTTATTAAATTTTGTACTTCACTTTTCAGCCAGCCCACCCAAGATCAATTCCCCTTGACCCCATTTCCCTTTTCACGATTTTATGGCATTATACGGGTGAGTTCACATGTTCGAATTCTGGTGGTCTCATCCCTTTACACTCAAATAATTTCCAGATTTATTCATCATTATTTAGCCTAAACCAAACTTGTAGGTTTGCTGAAAATTTAATCATTTTTCATCTCATTTTCACCAACACTTTCACTTGAACTCTTAGGGAAATTCATAGAACATCTAATACATTTTGGGGTGCATTTTTATAAAATCGTTTAGTCAAAAGATTGGTACTCAAATAAGCCATACTTTCATTTTTAATGGACATCACGATGTACATACGTTTATGAATGTAAAATAACAACCATAACATTACCGAATTTGGAGCCTTAACCCAAGGACCTTAGTCACTGTAACATGCTTGCACACACACACTTGCACATAATTTCGAACACATGGTCTTTTTTCATAGGATTTCAAGTACACAAAGATAATCATATTCATCACAAAAACCTACCATACACCTAAATCTACAAGTAATCATACCCAATCTATGATTCATTGGGAGCTAGTGACAGGGGCATGCAAAGGGGAACAATCTTAGTTTTCGGACTGAATAATCTGAACCTTGAGGGGTCTCTTGGGAAAGGGATCAAGAGAGAAGAGAACCCATACCTTTTTTTATGTTAAACCCTTGACTTGATGCCCAAAAACTTCACCCAAAATGACGTCTTAAGCCTCCTCAATGTCAACTCCACTTGAATGAAAACCTCCCTTAGCCTAGTGTGCGATTAACCGTATGTTTTCTTGTGATTTCGTGTGAGTTCTTCAAGTGTGACGAAATTGCTTTATTTTTATGATCTTGCCTATTATTTTTGCATAGAGAATACATAAGAAAGAAGAAAAGATATTGAGCGTGAGAGTGGAGAGATAAGCGTGAGCGAGTGGGAGTTGTAGGAGGCTTAGGAGTCTAGTTTTAGAACTTAGTCAATAAGGTTTTTGTTTATTCAATAAAAATCTGATTTTGATTTTATATTAAATCAGCTAATGAATATTAAATATTAATTAATTACATTAATTCAATAGCTTAGATAAAAATCACTTTAATCCATTGCTTCCACCTAGGTTTGAACCCGGGTGGAGCAAGACTTCACTTCAAGAGCCTAATTCCGGCTGTCTCTCCCCAAATTGTCCCTCCACCTTATTAATTAAATAATCAATTACATATTTAGGGTAACTACGATACTACCCTTAACCAGGAAAAGACCATTTTACTAGTAGACCCTTCAAACCTAAGATTTCCTCTTTTTAAGTCCGATAAAGACTCCTTCGACTAAATCTTCGTATTCGAGACCCTACATGGTTGGACCCAACCTTTACAAGCTCAACTAACTCCCCAAATTAGTTGTCTTGGCTGTAGCAAGGGTTCCGAGGTCTGGTTCTTCGCGCATCAATCCGTGTGAACCCTGGTCTAATCATAGGCATTCTTGACACATTAAGCATTTCTTATCTTATCAAGATATTTTTAATCATTAATGATCTCTTTACAATTCTTGAGATATGTGATGACGTTAAATCATTTAGTTTTCGTAGAAATGTTCTAAGAACCTAACACAATTTACTTTTTATTTCTTTATAGAAGCGATTATTAAAAAGGTTGTTCAAAAGGTTAGAAATATAAACTATACCCGCGCAAAGCTTGGGTAAATTACCTAATTTTTATGTAATTAAAAATCACTTAAATTTTAAAACATTTGATGAAGTTATTATTTAAAAATTTATTAATCATTTTAAAATATTTTAATAATATTTACAATAATTTATAAAGTAAACATACTAAATTATATAATTTTTATGCAAAATCGACTAAAATTCTTAATTTAAAATAAATCTTAAAAATACGTATTTAATCAAATAACAATCCTAAAAATGGTAAAAGGTCGGTCAAAATTGGGCGTTAACAAATTGATGAAAAATATCTTATATAAAAAAATATTTGTTTCAATTAATTTCTTGTGGCTAAAAGGTTAATATAGCCATAATAATATTTATCGCATAGCAAAAACATACGATCAACTAAAAGAATTTATCAAAGCAATAAAGTTGTAGCTACTTAGACAATTACTCCCACTATTATTAATAATCATAGCAAAAATAATGAACTAGCTTCATCAATTTGATATTTTTGGCTAAGAAATTTTATGAATTTATAGATAGCTACGGTGTTCAAAATTTTGTGGCTATTACTACGTAATAGCTATATTTTTTGAATTCATAGCTTAAATTTTATTGCTATAGATATATTATTGTAGAAACTCACTTAACTATGGAGAAATTGAGGATATATTGATGAAAAATGTTGAGTCACAAGCTCCTTATATAAAAGAAGAGTCATATTCTAGATATACTATGAATCCTACTACAACACAATTATTTACATGAGTAGTATTGTATTATAACTCAAAAACCTTATCCTAGTTGACTCCTACAATATAGAGTAGCTTAGTCGTACATATCTTAGAATTTAGTAGTTTAGTCCTAGTATGATTCCAACTCAAACTTGTTAGCTTGCTTCGATGAATCTTCTCCTTCAACATGTTCATCAGTCTACTGTTCCTTCGACATGTTTCATCAATCTTCATGCTTCCTTCAACACTTCCCCTCTAGCTAGTGACCGGAGGAACTGTAACTCCTATCTTGCTGCAAAATTAAAGAAAACCTGCTTTGTTAAGACTTTGGTATGAATATCAATTAGCTAACCTTAGACTTTACAAAGTGAGTAAGAAGTTATATCATGGACACTTTCTCATAAACAAAATGATAGTCCATTAATACATTTTTTGTTCTATCATGCATAACTAGAGTAATCGTCATGTACAAGGCATTCGTGTTATAATCACAATACGACGTAGGAATAGATCGAAGGAACACTCCAAGGTCATGAAAAAGATACAAAATCCAAGTCATTTTTGCGGCAGTGGAGCCTAGTGCTCTATACTAAGTTTCAGCACTCGATTGGCTACTATAGTCTGTTTCTTGGAGGTCCAAAGATACAATTTGCACCTTGGTAGATGTTATAGCATGTAATTGATGTCCTAATAGTGGTACAACCTCCCCAATCATAAGCTAAGTAGACATACAACATGCATGGTGATTGAGAAATAATTCTTTGGCCAAAGTGTATAGTATCTTTGATGTACTTGAGAATCCTTTTTATCCATTCAATATGTTCAGTGTTTGGACTTTGCAGAAACTGGCTTGCTAAATTTACAGCATGACTGATATCAGGTTTTGTGATGGTCAAATACTGAAGGTTCGCTACTATCATTCTGTAAAGAGGCATCTACAAGACTTCCTACAGCTTCATGCAAACTATGATTTTGAGTTTGAATTTTCTTTACGTCATTTCATCTTCTTGAATAAAAATCTAAATATGCACCAACTTATAGGCCATACCGATCGAGTAAATTAATGAAGCAAAGTTCATCTTCTTCAAATAATTAGAACAAGTTGTTTCCTCGATTTTTGATGAATTCCCAGCAAAAAATAGAATGACTTGATCAAACAAGAACGAATCAAATTCGGTCCTAAAAGAGATAACAAAAAAATGAATTAGTATAATAAAAATTGGTCTACAAATAAATAATGAATATCAAATTATTTTATCAACTAATATTAATAATAATAGTACGTAAACTAATATATCATGTATGATTTTACCATTTCGTTGTATTGCTAGCATATAACATCTTCTTACATGAACATGATAAAAAAGATAGAGTGATGATAAAGCGAAAAGAAATATTTTCCACAGACTCGACATGCAATTAAATTCGTATAAGTCACCGTTATGTTTTTCTTAACCAAACTGAATCATATATTAATTAAAGTTGGAAGCTCCTATCTTCACAGTTGGATTACCACTTTTCCCTTCCAAACAATCAAAGTTTAATTAAATATCATATTAAGTTTTGATTTAGTGAAGGGAGAATATGATAATTCAACTTTAAAGCTATGAGTTTTCCACTATAAATAATATATGATTCAACTTAGTTTATTAAAAGAAACATAATGGTGACTTATAATAATTTAATTGTATATCGAGTGTGTGGCAAAACATATCCGCATATTGTGCCGCTATTCTATCATTTTGATTAAATTCATGGAAAAAAATGCTATATGCTAGCAATACAAGGAAATGGTAAAATTACACATGAACATATTAGTTTATATATATATTTTTTTGACACAATAATTTGATATTCATTATTTATTTACCAACCAATTTATATTTGTTTAAAGTTCTTTTTTTTTCTTACCTCTTTAGAGCTGACTATGATTTATCTTGTTCGATCAGAAAATCATCATCTTGATAAGAGGAAGAAGAACTTTGATTTTTTAATTTGTTTGAAAACATCCTTCCAAGAGAAAACACTCCTATCTAGGGTGCTTCTCGCTTCTAATTTTGGGTGACAATTCATTCTAAATCGAGGTAAATTACCTTTTCTATATGAGGAAGATGTATTTATAAGATTTTGGAAATTACACCTTCCTCGCATAAAAAAAGAGAAAATGCATCGTACCCCCCCCCCCACCCCCCCAGTTTTTTGTCCAAAA